AAACTATTCTTCAACTCCATCAAAGACTCCAGAAGGATATAATATTACCTAAGTAAACAAGAAGTAAGCACCTTCCAAACTCTAGAAATGACAGAGACATCTCACTGCCTGGACAGTCACCCAAAGTTCCTCTGTACCGTTGGGGCATCCATCTTCAGCCTATAGGCCCATGGTATCCAGAGACATTTCCATGAAGCAGGAAATTTCAAAGGCAGTTCAGTCACTATCTGCTGTGTCCTGCAGAATGTCTCGCAGACTCTTTTATGAATCAGGAACCCTGAAAGATCATCTTACCTTTAGGCAAGTTTAGCAGTCCTCTCTCTGTGGGTTCTTTGTGTCCAGTTTATGCAACAGTCCAGGCAAGAGCAGTTTCTTGCCCATATGGCCAACCAACTCCATAAGGAGCCTCTTCGATGCCCATCTTCCTCTCGAAGTAGATTGGTGCTGCCAGGAGCAGACGTGTCTCATTGTCATGAAAAGCCCTAAATTATTAAAACATTAAATGCCATACTCTGCAGTCTTTGAAATATATGAAGAATATCTATCTAACTGAAATATATCTCTATCTAGAAAATTTAACATGACTACAAGCTTGATTATTATCAATGATTATCCATTAACAACCTATATTTCCTAATTATATATTACATTTTAAAAATGAACTACACAATCACAATACCTTAATCAATATTAGAAATATATATACATATAACAAAATTGACCTTAAAATCCATACCAATGCAAATTATTCATATCTGTATCAGGGTATAGCCTGTAATTTGTATTTTGGCAAAACTGCAGGTGCTTCTGTTGTCTCTGGTTAATTGTCTTAATAACATTTCAGAAGCAGCACCATGCAGTCTGACAATTAAACCACTCTGATGGCTTTACCTTGCATCGATTATTATAAGATGATACTTTGTGTTTTTACCCTCATTTCTGACCACTTCCCTCAGCTCTAGGCTCATTTATTCTCTGGTATTTTGAACATCTATTTGACTCTCATATAGCACCTCAAGTTCACCATGACCTAAGCAAAAATAATTTGAAACTAGGAGTGTAGCTCATTTGAATAGGGCACTCAGGAGGTATTGAATTTGATTTCTGAGTAATGCCAAATAAAACAAGCATTAAAAATATAGTAATAATTTTTTTGCCTCATGATGGTGGCAGTGTAGTGCATGCCTTTAATCCCAGTGCTTGGGAGGTGGAGGCAAGTGGATTTCTTGAGTTCAAGGTCAGCCTGGTCTACAAAGTGAGTTCCAGTACAGTCAGGTGACACAGAGAAACCTGTCTTAAACCTCCATGCCCAAATATGTATAAATAATCCTCTCATGGAAATTCGTTCTTACTCTTGAGTAGTTCTTCCTGTGAGTAGTACCACCTAGCTTTATAAGCCAAAAACTTGGATATTAAAAATGTGAGTCTTTTATATTCTTTAATATCTAACAATCATGAAAGTTTTATGTGGACACATATCTATAATATCTCCATTATCGTTTCCACTTCTAAATTTAGCTCAGGAGATGACCAGCTCTCATCTGTACAGCTGTGATGACTTTTGGTTGGCATTCCTGTTGTGGTCTTTCTCCTTCCAGTCTACAGAAGTGATGGGAATGGGGAAGGGGATCCCAGAAGGAGCCAGGAGATGGTGCTAGAATTAGTAGATTGTTCATATGTGGGAAGAAAGGTAGATTAAGGGTTAGAGCCATGGTTCTCAACCTTCCTAATGCTATTCCTCCTGTTGTGATGACCCCAACCATAAAATTATTTTTATTAGCTGGATGATGATGGCACACGCCTTTCATCCCAGAGGTAGGTCAATATCTATGAGTTCAAGGCTAGCTGTTCTACAGAGTTAATTCCAGGACAGCCAGGCTATAATGAGAAACCCTGTCTCTAAAAACAAAAGAAAACTTATTTTCATTGATACTTTATAACGATAATTTTGCTACTGTTAGGAATTGTAATTTAAATATCTGATATCAGGAACTCTGAATTTAGACCAGGCTGGCATTTAACTCAGAGATTCCCTGCCTCTGCCTCCCAAGTGCTAGAATTGAAGGTGCATGACCCCACACCTGTCCTACTTTATTTTTTTCCCTGACACTTCTCAGGCTGGCCTGGAACTTGATGTGTAGCTGAGTTTTGACCTTGAATTCTAGATCCTCCTGCCTTTGCTTCTGGAATGCTGAGATTATATGCATGTGCTGCCACCAGTTCTTTTATGTAGTGCAAAGGAGCAGCCTGGGCTACTGAAATAGCCAGACGTGGTCCAGGCTTACATGGTGAAATTCAGTTCGGTCAGGTGAATATGAACAAATAAGTAGGAGATAGCAATATAGCTCAGTTGGTACAGGTTAGCCTCGCCTGTTACATTGATAGCTCTTATTTATTCATTTATATTTTTCTCTCCTAATAGAACTTCACTATGTAAGCTGGCTATTTTATAATTTATGATTCTTGTTTTTATTCATTTATTATGTATATAGTGTCCTGTGTGCATGTATGCCCGCATGCCAGAAGAGGGCACCAGATCTCATTACAGATGGTTGTGAGACACCCTACAGTTGCTGGGAATTGAACTCAGGACCTCTGGAAGAGCAGCCGGTGCTCTTAACCTCTGAACCATCTCTCCAGCCTGATTCTTGTTTTCTTCAATAACCTTTTGTTGTTTTGAGACAGTATTTTATATAGTAGCCCATACTACCCTCAGACTGACTGTGTAATAGAGAATGACTGCAAATCCCTCAGCCTCCTGCCACTGTCTCCAAGTACTGGAATAGCAAGCCCCTTTTATGCAGTGTTCTTGGCATCCATTGATGAGTCTTATTTGAAACTTTCATTAAAATTGGTGATTTCAAGATGTTGATTATCAGATTGTCTCATTCCCTTTACACTTACTAGCTAGAATTGTTTTATAGAATACCCCTTCTCTGTTTTGTTTTGGAGAGTACTATAGTGTTGATATTTTTCTTTTGTTTTCTTACTGTGTGTGTAGTATATGGATGTGTATGCAAGTGTAAATGTGAGAGACCGTGCCTAAAAATAACTAGTGACAATGCTTACACACCCAAGGTTTTCCTCTGGGCCTCCATACACATATGCACGCATGTGTATGTACAACTGCACCAAATACACACACATAAGTACACACACATTGGTGCATACAGACGCTATTTCCCTCCTAAAATTAATAATTTGTAGTCCTAGTTGTCAGTGTTAAAAGTACTAACAGTATTGACTATTAAAAATAAAATAACATTTGGAGCTGAAGAGATGGTTTAGCAGTTAAGAGTGAGCACCCTTGTAAGACTACGCTAACAGCCTGTAACTCCAGCCCCAGGTGATCGAACCTAACAGTGAGCGTGAGAGTGCTGTGCCTACCACAGACACCTCTAACACTCTTGTTCACATGCACACATAATTAAAAATATGATGGTGGTGCACGCCTTTAATCCCAGCACTCGGGAGGCAGAGGCAGGCGGATCTCTGTGAAAATAAATAAAAAAATAAAAAAAATAAAATAAAATGAAAAACTCTTTAAAAGAACAGTAAATTTGGTCAGCAAAATAGTTCAGTAGGTAAAGGAACTTGTTGACATGTCCAGTAACCTGTGTTTAGTCCCTGAAATTTACATGGTGGAAGGAAAGAGCCAATTCTTCCTTGTTATTCTCTGATCTCCTAATATTGGTCATGCCAGGGTGTGTGCCCCTATAAATACATAAATTGTAAACCTGGTTTAAGAATAAGAATGTAAATTATTCTCAGTTTGGTTAGTGGGAGCTTTGGAAGGGGGAGATTCTCTGTTCTTTCGGCACTCACCATCGGGATTTCAGTACTCTGTGTACTGTGTCCTTCACTTGCCCCAGGCCTGGAGTTAATCCCTTGTGAAAGAACCCTGATTCCTCTAGTGGGGAGTAGTTCCTTCACAGGGAGATTGCATCTCATTCCTGTCTATCTGTTCTTGCTGTTCTCATTTGATCAGCTGTTTTTTGTTTTGATGGGGTGGGGAATTGCAGAGCTGTAGGTTCCCAGATATACATAAGCAATGAAGTATCCAAACTAAATTACTTCATAGGAGTAAGTGAATTGTAGACAACTCTGATGACTTGGAGAAGAGGGCTGGCCCCATAAGTCGCATTTGGTCATGGTGTTTTATAACAGTCACAGAGAAGTAACCAGTGTACCCCTGTGTGGGTGGTGACATATAAAGGTGAAACAAATTCTTACTCTTCTGAGGCAGAGTTTCTTTGTATAGCTATGGCTGTCCTGCGTTGAAGTTACAGATACCATTTTCTTTTGAGTTTTATTTTATTTTTATTTTATGTGTACGGTGTTTCACTTACATGTATGTCTGCACCACTTGTGTGCCTGGTACTATGGAGGCCAGAAGAGAACATTAGATTGTTGTATGCTACCGTGTGGTTTCTGGGAATCAAACCTGGGTCCTCTGGAATAGCAGCCAGTGCTCTTAGCAGACATGGTCTCATGTAGCCTGTGCTGATCTGGAAGTCCTGATCTTCCTGCCTCAGCCTCCTAAGTGTTGGGTGTGAGCCACATCACCTGACTCAGTATTTTATTTAACATGATTACTCCTGTCAGTTGATTATAAGGCATGTGTATTTCTTCCCCTTCATGTGGTTGACGGTTACATTATAAAAGAAATGAGCTGCCTGGCAACATAAAACACAGATATTAAAATGAATTGCACATCTTCCAATTATTTATCTTGCTTGGCTAAATTTAGAACTCTATAGAGCTTCTGTAGAATTGAAATCTCTGAGGATTTAATAGTTAATAGACAGTGCTCAACTTTTCAGAGGAAGAAAGACTGCAGGCGCCTTCAAAATGATTCCTGCGCTGTCACTCACGCCGCTTGACTAAGACACAGACCAGTGGGAGTCAGAACTGTTGGGAGAATTTCATTTCACTGTCATGTTTCTGAAAGCTTCCTAGGGCCTGGGCTCAATGTGGTAAAGATTCTTTCTTCTCTTCAGGTGAATCACCAGCGGCTACCACTGTCCTTCCTTGGGGTTGCAAAGTCCTACTTGATACAGTTACTTCACCTGGATGGATGAGCCAGCTTATTTGTGCTAGAAGTCAGGTGAGCATTACACTGGGGCCTTATGGGTAAAGTTTATGATATTGCATTATTTTGTGAGCTTAGACTAAGGTTAATCGATAGTTGGAGCAGAAATTTCTGTGAACACGTAGCTGGCTGTTGATGAATGTAGAGATCTACATGTGTGCCATGCAAGCATAAGGCTGCTCTAAGAGTGAGTACTTTGAGTAAACAATTGTAGTTAAATAGAATTCAAAATAGAATACAGTATTACTTATGTTTAACACATCATTTGGTAGTAGAAAAAGTAATTCTATTACTGCATAATAAGATATTCTGAGAATATTTGAAAGTATAAAAATTCATAAACTGAGGAGAAAGATTAATGTAAATAGAATGTTGTGTTACTGAGATCCTAAATTTATACATATGTTGAAATGTAAAAAAAAAATTAAAAATAAGACCTTTTTTTTTTTTCCCTTTTCTTTCTCCTTTTTTCTTTTGGTTTTTTGAGACAGGGTTTTTCTGTAGCTTTGGAGCCTGTTCTGGAACTCGCTCTGTAAACCAGGCTGACCTCAAATAGATCCGCCTGCCTCTGCCTTCTGAGTGCTGGAATTAAGGGTGTGCACCACCATTGCCTGGACCTTTTTTTATTCTTTTAAAAGTTATTATGGGGCTGGAGAGATGGTTCATTGGTCGTGTGCACTAGTTGCTCTTCCAGAGGCTCATGTTCGATTACCAGCACCCACATGGCAGATCACAACTGTCTAAAACTCCAGTTCTCAGGATCCAACACCTTCACACAGACAGACATACACAATTGCTTGTCGTTCCAGAAGAACCAGGTTTCATTCCTAGCACTCAGTGGTTGCTCACAATAGTTTATAACTCTGGTTCCTGGGGATATGATTCCTTTTTCTGGTCCCTGCAGGCATGGACATGGTGTATAGACACACACGAAGGCAAAACATACATATATATGAAAAATAACAAATTATTTTGGAAGAAAAAGAGGTACAAATAAAAAACAAACCAGAACCCTATAATGGGCAATAAGGAATTTTGACTTATGTGTGTTATATTTATCAACTTTATTAAGGATTAAAAATAAGTAAACAATTTAAATATTCATCAAATGCAACAATACATCCCTTATATATTGATAATATCTATAACTGTGTGTGCATGTATGCATATTATGTGTGTCTCTGTGTGCTCATGAACACATGCATGTAGGTGCTTAGGGAGACCAGAAGAGGGGCTGGTTCCCTTGGAGCTGGCATATATGCTCTTGTGAGCCACCTGATGTGAGGTTTAAGAGTCAAATTTGAGTTCTCTGCAAGAGTAACAAGCATTCTTTTTTTTTTTTTTCGGACTTTATTTTATGTGCATTGGTGTGAGGGTGTCAGATTGCATGGAACTGGAGTTACAGACAGTTGTGAGCTGCTGTGTGGGTGCTGGGAATTGAACCTGGGTCCTTTGAAGAGCAACTAGTGCTCTTAACCACTGAACCATCTCTCCAGCTCCAAGAGTAACAAACATACTTAGTGACTGAGCCACCTCTCCAACTCCCATCTGCCCTTTCTATTTTTAAAATTATTTATATTGTTTTCCACATTATTTTTTGAGGCAGCGTCTCTCTGTGTGTGGAGCTCACTGTTTCAACTAGAAGGTCAGCAAGTGCCCAGTGTCTGCCTGTCTCTGAATTGCTGACTCCAGTATTGAAATTTAGATATGCATGACTATGCCTGTATTATATGTCTGAACTCATATACTCATGTTTGTATAGTAGGTATTTTACCCACTGAGGTAACTCTCTAGTTCCTATACCTTCCCCCCCCCCCCAAAAAATAAAACAACTTTCAAAACAATTCACTGAAAAAGGCAGGCATTATTATTATTATTTATTTTGGTACTAAGAATCAAATTTAGAGACTTACATGTACTAGGGAAGCACTACCATTGAACTGTATTCCTAGCCTTGTTTTACATTTTTGGAAATGTATAATATATAACTTAATAGAAGACAGATTCTTTTGTTGAAGTCTATAATGAAAATTCAGCCCCAAAGACATATAGTTGAAAGAAGCTATGTTTCAGTATCTCCTTCACTTATGGACATTTTTCCTTGACTCTATGTCTGGTATAGTGTAGTGGATAAATGGTACTTCTCTGCTCCCTTCCTCAGCCTTCTCCCCTCCCTTCTTCTTTCCTGGGTTTTTGTGAGACAAGGTTCTGCCGTTTGGTTCCTGTTGGCCGTAGACTCCTGTACTGTTTACACTTAAGATCTTCCTCCTTTGGCCTCTGTAGTGTTGGGGTTATGGGCATGTGCCTGAGAGTACATTGTTTAGTCTGAAAGCATTAGTGGAGTTTTGTCCTTGGTGTCATAAAAATTTATTCGTATGTTTGGGAATGGGTGCTATAGGTACACGGTTCTAGCTTCAATCTAGGTACTATATCTGGTAAACTGAATAAGTCTTTACCCATGAATGAGTTGGAAATATTATGAGTTGGTGTCTGACAACTTTTTTCTTTTGAGACACAGTCTCACTGTATATCCTTGTCTGACCTGGAATTCTCTGTATATATTAGGCTGGCTTCAGACTCACAGAGGTCTGCCTGCCTCTCTTCCCCAAGTGCTGGGATTAGAAGTGTGCACCAACACCACTGGCCCAGATTGACAAGTATTGATTCACTGAATGATGCAGCCCTTCCAAATGTTTGACCCAGTTCATATGTGAGTATATATGTGGTGTAGAAGTGTGTGTGTGCGTGTGTGTATAGCAGAAGTATTTTATATTTACTGTTCTGTCAAGAAGAATAGTAAAGACATGAGTGTGAGCTGGAGAGATGGGTCAGGGCTTAAGAGCACTTGTTCTAACCAGGTGGTGGTGGTATACACTTTTAATCCCAGCATTTGGGAGGCAGAGGCGGGTGGATCTGAGTTTGAGGCCAGCCTGGTCTACAGAGTAAGTTCCAGGATAACTAGGACTACACAGAGAAAACCTGTCTCAAAAAAACCAAACCAAAAAAAAAAATAAAAAATAAAAACAAACCAAAAACAACAACAAAAAACCAAAAGCAACAATAAAACACTCATTCTTACAGAATATCAGGATTTCATTCCCAGTGCCCACATGAAAGTTGGCAAGTGGCCATAAGTTCCACAGAGTCCAGCTCCCTCTTCTGATTTCTGCAAGCACCAGGCTAACACTCACAGACATATACACAAGCAAAATACTCATACATTAAATAAATAAGCATTTTTTAAAGGCATGAATATGTTTGATGTGATTTGATGGTTTATGGTGATAATCCCAGTGCTTGGGAGGCTGAGAGTAGGACACTGACTAAAGCAACGGAAGGACGGTGACAATACATGAACTGAAGGGCAGAAATTATCATCAACTTTCTTAGCTGTGAGTTCCACATTTGTGGATTCAGCCAAATACAGTTAAACATACTCAGGAAAGAGGCCAGGTAGAGCACACCTTCATTCCGAGCACCGGGAGGAAGAGGCGGTGGGAATCTCTGTGGATTTGCTAGCCTGGCTCTATACACAAGAGTTTCAGGCTAACCAAAGCTACATGATGAGACACTGACTGTTAAAAAAAAATCAGAAAAATAACTGTAGCTGTATGAAACATATATAGACATTCCCCCTTATTATTTTGTATAACTGTAGCACAAATTCTAATTGGTCTTAATAATTAAAAAAAAAAAATCTGATCAGAGTCAGATAAGGGGTTAATTCTGAAGGATCAGACAAGCAAAACAGCCAGCCACAAGAGAGACTTTTTACCTCTACCAATGCTCAGACCAAAGGGGAGATCCTGTCCTCAGACTGCAACTGTCTCCACCAAACTTCAGACTGCACTACCTCCCTGTCTACTTCTGCTTTATATTTCTCTGCTCAGCCATATCACTCCTGTCTCCACCTCCCTAGTGTTGGAATTAAAGGAATGGGATCCCAAGTGCTGGGATCACCTTGTGTGAGCTCTGTTTCTCTTTTAGACAGATTCAATCTCGTGTAGCTCAGGGTGGCCTTAAACTAACAGAGATCACTCTGCTTCTGTCAGTTGTGCTAGGACTTAAACTGAGAACCTTCTATATCATATCAAGTACTTTACCACCAACTATCTTGATTTAATTTTTATTTCTTAGACATTCTAGTGAGAGATTCTAGTTTTTTTTAAGTTGAAAGTGTAGAGACGTATTTAAAAATATACTAATTTTTTTTTCTTTTTTTTATTGTTATTATCTGTTTATTTGTGGTTTTGCAACACGGGGTTTCCTTGTGTATCCTTTTTTTTAAAAGTATGTATGTATGTATGCATTTATTTATTTGTTATGTATACAATATCCTGTCTGTGTGTATGCCTGCGGGCCAGAAAAGGGCACCAGACCCCATTACAGATGGTTGTGAGCCACCATGTGGTTGCTGGGAATTGAACTCAGGACCTTTGGAAGAGCAGGCAATGCTCTTAACCTCTGAGCCATCTCTCTAGCCCTGCACAATGATTTTTAATAGTGATTTTTACACCTTGGAAGCGGCTATGCCAAGACCAAGGGATGGGTCTACCTTCCCTTGGTAGAGCCAGCCCCTCACCCGTCCGTGTCCGTGTATGTACAATGGCAGCTGGTTGTGCCGTGTGCATCCTCGACCGTTTGCCGGGCAGACTCATTCATGCCATCACAGTTAGCTGCAGAGTTCACTCTCAAGGCTCTGCACTTACCATGTGTGCGTGTCTCACAGTTTGTTTACCCCGTCGGNTTGGAGCCTGTCCTGGAACTAGCTCTGTAGACCAGGCTGGTCTCGAACTCCCAGAGATCCGCCTGCCTCTGCCTCCCGAGTGCTGGGATTAAAGGCTTGCGCCACCATCGCCAGGCAATAGGTTTTTTTTTTTTTTTTAAGTCAAGGTCTCATGTAGCCCAGGCTGTCTCTGAATTTATTATATATAGCTGAGAATTACCTTGAACTTCTTTCTGATTCTCCTACTTCCACATCTGTGTCCCCCAGTGCCGGAATGGCTGGCATGCAGGTCCCCACCACACCAGGCTTTGTGAGTGCTAAGAAAGCACTCTGCCTGCTGAGCTAAAGCCACACCTTTGCTATTGGTCTTGTTAAATTGCCTAGGCTGACCTTGAGATAACCTCCTGCTACCGTGGCTGCGCTGTTTTTGTTTTGTTTTTGCAGTGCTAGCAAATAGTTTGCCACTGAGCTCCTTCCCCAGGTCTACTGTTAGATTTTGATTAGTATTCCTACCTTGACAAAATTAAAAACAGAAGGAGAGCTGGTGAAATACTTCAGTAGGAGGTCTGGAGACCTAGTTCAGCAATTCAAAAACATTTGTTGCTCTTCCCAGACACCTGACACACACATGGTGCACATACATACATGCAGGCAGACACACATGCATAAAATAAATAAATCTATAACCAAAATGCCTAAGTGGTAAAGAGCTTATGCAGCATGCACAGGCCTTGGTTTCAAGCCCCAACACTACCAAAACAGTAAGTACAAATACCATCTTAGTCTTCCTGTGAAACTGCTTTGACTTCGTAGGTCTCCTGAGACCTCATTTTTCCCCCCAAAATGTTCCAGATGTGTTATATATTCAAGATAATTGAGGTGAAATAAAAGCAGAGATCTGCCTGTCTCTGGCGCCCAGGTGATGGGATTAAAGGTGTGTGCATAAAAGCATAGTGTTAAAGTTGACCACACATAGCTTATTTCTAAACTCATGATTAGAAACTCATCATGAGAAAAAAGTTAGAGGTGAGATCACAAAAGCACCTTGCTGAGCAGTGTACAAATATTCTCTGGCCAGTGAAAATGGCCAATGAGGCAGGAGAGATGGCTCAGCGGTTAAGAGCATTCGTTGCCTGCCCTTCCTTCCAAAGGTCCTGAGTTCAATTCCCAGCAACCACATAGTGGCTCACAGTCATCTGTAATGAGGTCTGGTGCCCTCTTCTGGCCTGCAGGAAAAAAAAATGGCCAATGAATGATTTTATTCACTTATTTACTTTTAGTTTTTTGAGACAGATTTTATTTGTGAAGCCCTGGCTGGCTTGGAACTCGCTCTATCGACCACATAGGCCTCGAACTCACAGTGATCCACCTGCCTCTGCCTCCTGAGTGCTGCCTGGCATAGTTTCACCTGCTTTTAAATTTTATGTTAATAGAACCATATATTGAACCATATATCCTGTTTTGTTGTTGTTTTTCAACATTGTCTTTGATAATAATGAATATAGTTACATATTTTCTTTATCATTGCTTTATAATAGTATATTGTGTATCCATGCCATTTTTTTTCTATATAGTTGTTGGTTTCTAGTTTGGATTATTATGAACAATATTACTAGGATTATGGTTGTACATGTTGTATAACGTTCTTGCTTTGTGAGCCAATCATTTCCAATGGTTATCTATACCTTGGAATGTTGGTAGGTTATAGTATATTTAGCTTTAGTAAGTATTGTCAGTTTTCCAAAATGATTGTATTAATTTATTCTTCATCAGTAAAGCTATGAGTTTTCTGAATGTATGCTATCTTAAAAAATGATATATATTTTTAAGATAGGATCTTTCTGGGATTACAGGCATATGACATCATGCTGAGATAATCTCTCCTCCCCACCTTTCTTTTTAAACTTATTGTTGGAATAAAGCATTTTGGGTCAAAGGATGAAGGATTTTTTGTGATTTCTTAACATGGCCAGGAATTGATGTTTTGACTGTGAAACTGTTTAGTTCACTGCCATAACACATCACCTGTTCCCCAGTTCACCACCGCAGCACACATCACCTGTTCCCCAGTTCACCCTACGCCACATTGGTAATTATTCATGTTAACGCGTTGGTCTTTTTATGGGTTCTCTTTTAGCCTTTCTATGACTAATCATTCATTTGGAGTTGCTAATTATGGGCCTGAAGTAACTTTTTGGGGGGTGGTGGTCAAGTTTTCGAGTAAAGGCATAGAAGGAAGACCCCATAGCAGAAGGTGTACCTAGGCTATACCTGTCTTGAACAGACAGTGGGTTTGTTTGTTTGTTTGTTTTGTTGTTTTGCTTTTCCAAGACAAGGTTTCTCTATGTAACCTTCCAGGCTGTCCTGGAACTCATTATGTAGGCCAGGCTGGCCTTGAACTCACTGAGATTCACCTGTCTCTGCCTCCTGAGTGCTGGTATTAAAGGTGTGTGCTTCAACAGTGTTGTTATCTGAAGTAAAGAAGAATTTTGTGAGTGGCTAGGAGGTCGCTGTTAGTCTTTTAGGAGGAACACTAGAGCTCTGGTGACTTGACAGTGTCTGTTGTACAGTGACTGAGTCTCATATAGTAACTATCACAGCCCAGATTTAGAGATGACCAGAGTTGAAAATCCAGCTGATTTGCAGAGTTAGGACAAGGATTCAGGTTATAAAAAAAATGCAAGCAAAAGACACAAAAGGTGCCACTGTGGGTCTTGAACTAGACCTCTTTATTGTCTTTGAGGTCTCAATGTGTTAATATTTAACATTCTTTTAATTTTTGGTTATTTATTTGAGGTTAAACTTGTTTCTTAAATGAGATGCCATCCCAGCACTGGACTCATGGGAACTGTGCATTTTTTCAGGTAATAACAGTCAAAACGTATGAAGCTGTAAACGGAAACTGCTAGTTTGTTTCCTAGCCACCCAGACCCAAATAATTGCACAGAAACTATTAATTGCAACACTGTCTGGCCGGTGATTCA